CCACCCCTCCTGCCAGCTCCCGGCCACCGACCTGGCGCCATGGCAATCTTGCCCTTCTCCTCCAGCAGGATTTTCCCATCAAACCCCAGGGCGGGCAACATGCCCTGCTGGAAGAAGATGACGTTTTCCTTCTTCAAGCCGAAATAGTGATGCTTCAGGAAGAACTCCTTGGTGGACTCCATAGTCCGGCCACTTGTCATGATGTACCTGTCAGGGCACAGAAGAGACCCGATAAGCAGGGAGGAGCAGCAGGGTCTCACATCCCTCATCCCAAATGTGGGGAACCCCTTCAGCCTGTAACACCCAGGAGAGGCTTCCTTCCCCCCCAGACATTTAGAAGGATCTGACCCTCTGTGGTCCCACCTCTTTGGCAAGCCAACGAAGGGCTCCTTGCAAGACGCATCTCCACAACCCTACCACACCCTATGCAGTGGGGGAGACACCCAGTTGCAACAGCCAGTTCCCACCACGATGCCAACCTCCTGCTTATAGTCCCTCCCCCCCCAGGCCCCTGCCTTGTGTGGTAGCAGGATGACCACAGGTGACACCACAAGTGTTCCCAAGGGCCATAGGGTTGAGCCTGACAATGTGGGACCTGCTGGTGCCACCCTCTGGGCCTTGACCCACTAAAACTCCAACAGGCTATGCCCATAGCAGTAGCACTGCTGTCAAGAGGGTCTACGCGTGGGGGTCTACACCAACCCACAGATCCTCGGCCTGCAGGCACCAACGGGGTCCATGCCAACCCACAAGACCTCAACCCACCAAGGCCAACCCAATGGGGCTTTAGCTCAGCCGACGCTAATGCGTGGCGGGGAGCACAGCTTCCCGGCAGAGCCCCACCCCTTCACGCTGTTCCTCCCCCGCGCCGGGCCCACGCGTGAAAGCGGGAAGCGGCGGCCGCAAGCAGCCCCCGGGCAGCCATCCCCACGGCTGTTCGGAGGGGGGACGGGGACGACACACGACACCCCCCTTCTGCAGCAAGAGAGGAGAGGCACACAGGGGGGGAAAAAAAACCCAAAACAACCCAAAAATCGCCAAACCCACGCAATGAGGCGGGCACCTACAGGAGCTTGACCCACCAACACCACTTGGGCTGACACTAATGGGGGTCTTGCCAATGACCTGCCCACACCACCTCACACGCCTTGCCCCACCAGAGCCAACCCAGGGGGGGCACTGACCCATCCCAGGGGAGGACTGACCCACCGAGCGGGAGGGCAGGGGTCTCACCAGGGGATGTGGCAGGGGGTGCCGTGCTGTTCCTCCGCCAGCTGCTGCAGCCGCCGCAGGCGCTGGGCCTGGAGGTGGAAGAGGGTCTTTCGGGAGGGCAGCCCCACGTCGCACATGCCCTTGGGGTAGGGGACGCCGAGGCGGGTGCCCTGCCCGCCGGCCAGCAGCAGCACGGCCACTCGGCTCGCCGCGATCTCCGCCAGCCCTGCGCCGGGGAGGGAGAGCAGACACGCGTGGGGCCCTCCGCACCGGCGCTAAGCGCTGCACCGCGCCGGGCCCCGCCACCCCCGCCACCTACCGCGGCTCTCCCAGCGCGGCAGCAGCTCCCGGTCGCGGCAGGCGCTGCCCAGCACGTCCCGCGGCACCGGCTCCATCCGCTCGTCCAGCCCCGCCGACCCACCGCCGCCGCCACCGTCCCCGCGGGCGCGGTGGAAGAAGCGGTTGATCTCGGCCACGTCCATATCGCGCAGCTCCGCCGCCAGCGCCCGGCGGGCTACGCCGTCCAGCTCGGCCCAGAAGCGCAGGACGTGGCCCTGCCCGCTCGCCGCC